TTATACGTGATCATGAGACTTCAAGACATGTATATGATTCGTAAAATTATGCTTTATTTAATCAACTTTGTATGCATATAACTTTTTAACGAACTACGAGCGACGGCTAAAACCTCTTGAAGGTTACTCAGGGCGATGACCTTGACAACATATGTCAAGGTCAAGGTCATCGGAGCTGACTCCCCTAAAGTGAACATTTACCAAAACGCCTTGTAATCCCCGAGGGGAAACAATAAATAGTTATATATATAATATTACCTGTTGCAATTTTAACTCATTTACGCAATGTGTCTTTGAAAAAAAGAAATTAAAGAAGATGGTGGATAAGACAAATTAATCAAGGACGAAATCAGAAAGGAGTGTATAACAATCTGTTTACAGAATTATATTTTACGGATGAAGAACAGTTTTTTGAATATACACGAATGAATATTAGACAATTTGATTATTTGTTTTCTTTAGTTGGCCCTTCGCTGCAAAAGACAAGCTTCAGAGAACCGTTGCTTCCAAAACTTCGCTTAGTTGTCACTTTGAGGTAAGTATACTATTAAATAATCTCAATATAATTTTTATATATTTGTTTAGTTATCTCATAAATAATCATGCCTCTTGTTTCGATAGCTATTTAGCATCTGGTGATAGCCCCAAATACTTATCTAAATACTATATAGGATTGGTGCTTCTATAATACTATTTATAAAGTAATCCAGGAAACCTGCGAAAATATTTGGCAAGCTTTAGCTCCGTTGTTTCTCAAAGCACCTACCGTAGAAAAATGGAATGAAATAGCTGAACATTTCTACAATCGTTGGAATCTGCCTAACTGTGTCGGTTCTATCGATGGAAAACATATCCGTATACAGTGCCCTCCTCGTAGTGGTTCAGAGTTCTTTAATTATAAAAAATATTTTAGTTTGGTATTGATGGCGTGTTGTGATGCTAATTATTGTTTCACATGGGTGGAAATTGGTGATTATGGTACGACGAAAGCTAAAAATTTATAACATTGGTCAAAATTTTTAGTGCTATTTATTTTTCACAAACCTTTTATTTGTTTTAGGCTCGCTCCCAGACAGCAGTATTTTTGGAAATTCAGCACTAGGAAGAGCCTTAGAAACGAGATCTTTAAATCTTCCTCCATCTAAGGAATTACCAGGTACAAGTTACAAGATGCCTCATTTCTTCGTAGGAGATGAAGCATTTCCATTGAGATCAGATTTAATGCGTCCTTATTCAAAGAAAAGTATCAAAAGTGATACAGAAAGAATATTTAACTACAGATTATCCCGTGCTCGAAGGATAATTGAAAATGCTTTTGGCATTCTTTCATCAAGGTAAATGTCATGTTTAGTTAATAGTAAAATATTCTTTACTTTATATTATATTCTTATATTATATTATATTATGTTCTTTACTTGCCAAAGTGATAATGTTATTATGAAAGTACGTAATTAATAGATGGAGAGTTCTTCATACATGCATCAGAATGAAAGTAGAAAGCGTAGAAAAAATAGTGTTGGCTACAACATGTCTCCACAATTTTATGATGATGAGAGAGGACCGCGAGGATGAAAGAAAATTGTATTGTCCCACAACTTATATAGACAACGAGAATGGATCAAATGGAATAGTGACACAAGGAATATGGCGAGATACAGCTCCATGTTTAAAATTGAACAATATTGGTCGATTTGGCAGTAATAATGCTACAAGAACAGCTATCACTCAAAGAACAACATTGGCCGAATGGATGCTTACAGATGAAGGACAAGTACCCTAGCAATTTCAAATAATTCGTGGTTGTGATAGAAACACATGAGAAACACATGTCGCGTGATTGTGTTTATATTAGCTTACATTGAGTGGCATTCGCATATTACATTTATGCATGCGACCGCTGAAATAATTTATTTGGTAATTATTTAGATTAGCACACCCACCTCCAATAACCTTGGGCTTGACATATATTATAGAGGTCACCCTCCTGAGTAACCCTCAGAAGGATTTAGCCGGCGCTCGTTGTTTATTAAAAAGTTATTAAAAAAACAATGCC